TACATGAGACTCCCAACAATCTGCTTGTATAGAGTAGCATTCACCCTTTTTTCTGTTCCATGTTTTGTGAGTTTCAGGCTAACTTCAATTGGAGTCAAAACTGGATTGCAATCCTTCCTTTGGAACTTGTCTAAAATTTCAAAGACATATTTCTTTTGTGAAATAAAGATACCAACAGGTGATTGAAGTACTTCAATGCCAATAAAATAGCGCATCAACCCCAAATCTGTCATATCAAATTCATTCATCATAGATTTCTTAAAATCAGCAATCATGACTCTATCATTACTAACATAAATAAGGTCATCAACATATAAGCAAACTATAAGTATCTTCCCATCTACTCCAAATTTAGTATAGAGTGTATGCTTATAAGGACATTTAAGAAAACCTTCCTTAGCAAAGTGAGAATCTATACGACTATACCAAGCTCTAGGTGCTTGTTTTAGTCCATATAATGCATTTTTTAACTAGTATACCTGATTTTCGTGACCATGCTTTACATATCCAGGTGGTTGATCAATGTACACATCTTCTTCCAATTCCCCATACAAAAATGCTAACTTTACATCCAGCTATATACATGCCATGAATTTTGGGCAGTAGTGGCTAACACCAACCGAATAGTGTCTAGCCGTACTACTGGAGCGAACACTTCTTTGTAGTCAACACCGAATTCTTGTTTGTACCCCTTTGCAATGAGTCGAACCTTGTATTTATCAATTTCTCCATTTTCATTCAATTTTGTCTTGTAAACCTACTTGACACCAATAGTCTTGTATCCTTTTGGAAGATCAGTCAGCTTCCAAGTATTATTCCTTTCAATAGCAACAATTTCACTATCCATTGCCTTTCGCCATTTTGATTCTTTGACCGTATCTTCAAAAATTGTAGGATCACAATCTTAAACAAGAGCAAAATGAGTAATAGGATCCTCATATTGGTCAATTCCTGTTACCTCATAATCTATCATCCATCCAGGCCTCTTTCGAACACGATGAAGATGTAATTCAACTGCTGAATTAGTGGATTTTGCTGCTATTGGAGAAAGTTCAGCAACTGTTGGAACTTCATTTGGTGAATTTTCAGGGACATAAGCTGCTGGAATTTGTGGTTGTAGGGGCTGCTGTCTTTCTTCATCATTTTCTTCATCAAGAATGACTGGAGTAGGCTGCTGTCTATTCCAATCCCAGGTGTTCTCCTCATCAAAAATGACATCTCGGTTGGTGACAATCTTCTTCGTGAGTGGATTGAACAATTTGTATGCTTTGGATGTTTCACTTACACCGAGAAAGACACACTTTTCCCCTTTATCATCAAGCTTTTTCCTTTTCTCATCCGGGACATGTGTATAAGCGATACAACCGAAAATCCTTAAGTGATCTATAGTTGATTTGTGCCCACTCCAAGCCTCCTCAGGTTTCATATTTTGAACAGAAAAAGTAGGACATCTGTTCAACACATGAATGCTCCAGTTTACTGCTTGTGGCCAGAAACTTTTTGGAATTTTTCCTCTTGCCACCAAGCTTCTCACCATGTTGAGGATGGTTCTATTTTTCCTCTCCGATACACCATTTTGTTGTGGCGTATATGCAGTTGTAAGTTTTTTTTTTGGAATTTTTCCTCTTACCAGCAAACTTCTCACCATGTTAAGGATGGTTCTATTTTTCCTCTTCAATACACCATTTTGTTGTGGCGTATATGAAGCTGTAAGTTCCCTTCGAATACCTTGCTCATCACAAAAAACATCAAATTCATTTGAGCAGTACCATTTTGTTGTGGCGTATATGCAGTTGTAAGTTTTTTTTTTGGAATTTTTCCTCTTACCAGCAAACTTCTCACCATGTTGAGGATGGTTCTATTTTTCCTCTTCAATACACCATTTTGTTGTGGCGTATATGCAGCTGTAAGTTCCCTTCGAATACCTTGCTCATCACAAAAAACATCAAATTCATTTGAGCAGTATTCTCCTCAACGATCAGTGCGAAAAGTTTTAATGACTTTTTCTACTTCATTCTCCACACGCGCCTTAAAGCTTTTAAATGCACTAAAAGCTTCTGATTTTTGCTGCAAAAAATAAATTTAAGTTTTTCGAGTATAATCATCAATGAAAGTAATTAAATATCTTTTACCCCCATTTGAAGATGGATTTATTGGCCCACAAATGTCTAAATGAACCAGCTCCAAGACATTTTTTGCTCTCCAAGACTTTCCTTGAGGGAATTGAGAACGATGTTGTTTGCTAACAACACATTCTTCACAAACTTGAGAAGGAATGGTAATTGGAGGGAGGCTTGTCACCATATCGTTCTGTTGGAGTGTCTTAATTTCGCCAAAATTCAAGTGACCATAGTGAAAAGGCCAAAGCCATGAAGGATCTTTTACTTCAGCCATCAAGCAAGGTTGAGATGTTCTTATCTTTAAAGGAAACAACATGTTTGAACTCATCTAAATAACAGCAATTGCTCCTCTTGAAGGATCATAAATCTCACAAGCACATTTTGAATAGTTATCACATAACCATTTTCTTGCAATTGACCAGCACTTAATAAATTACTTTTCAAGTCAGGGACATAAAAAACATTGGAAATTGTTTCTACAAAACCATTCTTGGTTCTAATATTAATATTACATTTTCCCATTACTTTCACAGTAAAACAATCACCAAAACTCACAGTAGAATGAAAGCCTTTATTTAAATAAGAAAAAGAAGACTTACTTCCACACATGTGGTTGCTACAGCCTGTATCCACATACCAAACGTCTGATTGGATTTCCCCATTGACATGATAATCCATCAACAAAGTCTCTGATTCATTCTATTCTGCTGCAAAATTTGATTTCTCCACCTTCTCTTTGTCATATGGCAATTTGGTATAACATTTAGAACGGTAATGACCAAACTTATGGCACCTGTAGCACTCTATCTTGGATTTGTCATCAGCTTTGTAATTCTGATACTGTCTGCTTCCATCTCTATTGCCTCTACCTCCCCTTTCTCTACCTCTACCTCTGCCTCTACCCCTCCCTCTTCCTCTTGAATTTGAGGATTGAGCAAAGGTAGAAGCCTTTAGAGCTTGAACATCAGTAGTTGAATTTCGATTCATCTTCTGTTCATGAACCAATAATGAGCTTTGGAGTTCATCAAAAGAAAGCTCATCTATATCTTTTGATTCTTCAATTGAGCAGACCACAAAATCATATTTTGGGACCAATGAACACAAAATCTTCAGTTGTTATCGGTGTAGGAGGTAGATTTCACCATGGAATCTCATCTTGTTGATTATCCCCATTGTTCTTGCACAATAATCAGTAATAGACTCACCATCTTTCATCTGCAGTGTCTCAAAATCCCTCCTCAAGGCTTGAAGTTGTGCACGCTTCACTCTAGTAGAGCCTTGGTATTTCTTCTTCATTGAATCCCAGATTTGTTTGCAAGTATCCTTTTGGAGAATAATCTCCAAAATACAACGATCGATTGCTTGAAACAGATAATTTTTTGCCTTGAGATCCTTTAGCCTCTGTTCTTCCAATTTCTTCTGTTGAGCTTCTGTCAACACTTCTCCATTGGCAGGTTCAGTCACTCCGATTTCCACAATGGTCCAATACTCCTTGGATCTTAGAAAATTTTCCATCAACATGCTCCAATGATCATAGTGACCATCAAAGCGAAGAATTGCGGGTTAAACATAGTTGTCGCTGGACATTTTTCTTGGTTGCTACTGCAGTTAAGCTTTTTCTCTGTGGCTCTGATACCACTGTTACAAAGTAAAGAAAAGGAAGTGTATTCTGTTTGTGAAGATCTCAGCATTTCATTGAATAAAGTAATAGCCTATAAATAGGCAGTACATGTAGAAAGAAAAAACAACTAAGTCTACCACATTTGGTCACCAAAATCAACTCCTATAAACTAGGCAAAGAGAAAACCACTTTCTAGTTACCACTGAACAAATGACTATGACTCGGTCAAACTACAAATTGCCAAAAATAAATAATAAAGCTTCCAAGTAAATAAGTGAATAATATGTTAAATAAATATCAAACATAAAGGCCCTCGAATTGAAATAACCATATCATTTATTGAAGGCGTGTATTTATGGTTTTTTTGAATGTGCAAGAGTTTACTACTAGTTAGGCATTAGATCAGGAATTCCACTTAGATATGGTCAAGAGAGCACCTTGTCCTGTCCTGTTTACTTTCTCCCACAATGGAGTCAACAAAATAATTTAATTATTTGGAGAATAAGTTGACACAATGAGTTTGATACACAAATCATCAGATTGGAAATAAATTGATACGATGAGTTCGGAGCATAAAATCATCACAATTTGTTGCATGTTCAAACATTTGTCTCTGATTCTAGAAAATTTAAAAATTCTTTCCAATTGCAAAATGTATGTGCTGTTTCAGTGATGTCTCCCTTCCTCGCACCAAGTACATGTTGTAGAAAGAAATTGAGGAAGAAAAGAAATGTCACTCCTGTTATTCTTGGAAAAATGGAAAAAAAAAAAGATAGATAAAAAAATTATATTCTGGTCTGCAAAGGTTTGATTTGAGCTTTGGGTGAATTTTCGATATAGGCGGTGATGTTATGAAATTCAGTTGTCACCTTGGAAGTGTATTCACCAATGATTGCAATTGTTTTTTGTGGAATTTCGTAGGTTGATAACTCTGATAAGAACAATGTTGTGACCCTCCAGCATCTCAAAGAAACTGTGATACATCTAAGTTTGAACAGGAAAACGAGGAAATGGAGCAGTCAGTGAGTAACTCAGCTACTACAGTAAGGGAGGAAAAGGTACCTGGTAGACAAAGAGAGGACCTGGAAAGTGCAAGTACATTTGAGAAACTATTGTTGAATTTTCAGATAAAAATGAGGTAGAGATGCCGGACACTCTGAAAGAAAAGCAGGAAAAGGAAAGCCATACTCTACATGCTGAAAAGATGGAAGGAGAGACGGTCAATATTCAGAAAGAAAAACAAGTTGTCACCAAGTGAAATGAAATCTTTGGAAGTTGGAGAGAAAATTGGTGAAACAGAGAGTGAGAAGAGATCATATGACTTGAAGGAGGGAGACAATGATGAAGCAGATTCAAGAGGAACTAACAAGAATCTTGAGGAAATTCTTTACGGAGTAGAAGAGGAACCTGGCTTCTATGGAACTGAAATCCCCGAAATGGAAGCTAATTTAAGTTTGTCTATGAGGTCCGTGGATCGTGAAGTGGAGGACAGGGACCTGCTTGGCCCGAAAAGGCAGTTGCTCATACAAATTTACTAAGGGCGATGAGAGCGGTTGCAGTCTCTACTTTTATGCGCCGTCTTTCATTCACGATGAAGATAAAAATCACAGCAAGGACAATGACAGTAATGGGAGCGAAGATTCTTCACCAGAAAGTGAAGCACAAGAAGTCTCTAAAAATCTGCAGAGAGCTCTGGATGGAACCCTCTTAGCCGTATTGGGATTTCATGTTATGCTCGGGGTGAAAACAAGTCAGTAGAGGATCATTCCATAGAGGACTTAATACAACTGATTGCATTGAATGGACAAATTATCTTGTATACAAGGTTAGGGTGCCAGGATTGCAAAGAGACGCGAAGATTTCTGCATGGGAATAGACTCCAGTATGTTGAGATCATTATTGATGTGTATCCTAGCAGGAAGCTAGAGCTAGAGAAGATTGCTGGATCTTATGCTGTTCCTAGAGTGTCCTTTAATGAACTTATTGGTGGTTTGGCTGAGCTGAAGAGCTTGGAGGAGTCTGGTAAGCTTGAACAGAAGATTGAGTAAGTTGCCACTAAAGCAACATCATTTGAAGCTCCTTCACCACCACTATCTGGTGAAGATGACCTGACGAGTAGCGGATCTATTGACGACTAGCTCTTGTTGTTTGAAAAGTGAAAGGAACTGTTTATGTTCAGGATAGGTTTCACAAATTGTGCAGGTTCACCAACTGTTTTCTGGGTTCAGAAGCTGTTGATTCTGTCAGATGATCAATATTTAGAGAGAGAAGAGGTAGTTTCGCCTTTGTTTCACTTATTGTTAAGCTTCATTTCCTTTCTTGATGTTAGTAACTTCTTAGCTTCCTAAATACCTAATGCATTTGGGGCTTATTTTTCTTTTGCCCTTCACAGTCTGAGTACAACATATCAATTAGCTCGAGAGTTTTAGCACATAGGTGGTCTTGAAGGCCTGGCCTTCCCATTCTAACATCATGAACTAAATTTTGTTGGAGATCTTGGTCACCACTTTTTGGTCAGGGCCTCCTTTTTAATGTTTAAAGCAATTTAAATAATTTTCATCACTATGAAAGTGGAAATATAGAACAAATTGAAAGTTAGTTGTAACATAAAAGTATCAACATAAAAGTTAATTTTCATCACTATGAAAGTGGAAATATAGAACAAATTGAAAGTTAGTTGTAACATAAAAGTATCAACACTTCCTGATGCAAAGGAAGTTTTGGATTTAAGTGTAATGTAGGCTCTAGATCAAAATCATTCTTTTGGATGTCTACCAAGGAGAGTCCAAACACATTAACCTGATACATGATGGGTGGACTCTTTCTATGAGCATGTAGGTGGGGAGATTCTGCTTCTATATTAGCTCTTTTGTAATCCGCTCTTTATTATTCTCTAGGAATGAGTACATTTAACTATGGAAATAGTTATAAGCCGAGTCTCAAAATATGCCATGGATGTCCTTTTCGCCCTTGTAACTGTTTTATTCAGATGATTTACTGACAAATGTTGCTCTTAGTCGTATACATGGTTTTGACATGAAAATTGAAGAAAAATGATTTTTTTTGTTCTCTATGTTAGTTCTTACAATGTCATAAAGGTCTCTGGATACTTGTCTTATGTTATAGATAATTGAAACGATGGAGAATGTGTTGTACTGGATAATAAAATTTGTGTGTCGAGGTTCAGTTGTGCACATTTTCTCTTAATATTTTCATTTATATGGGTTTAGACTATAGTGTTTCTGGAGATATTTTCTTGTTCTGAGAATATAATGAAATGATGTAGGCCACCAAGTGTAAGAGGATATATAGCATGGCTGAGAACAAAAGGAAGCATCAGGGCCGGTCCTGTGATCCGAGGGGCCTGAGGCGAAGTCCGAAAATTGGGCCCCCGGAGATCAACGTAAACGCAAAATCCAACCGTGCATTATGCAACGTATTGCAAACTTAACACTGACGTGTAAAACAACAAACAAATAAAAAGAACAAAAAATTTATATATATTATAAAGTAACAAAACCGATAAGAGTTCAAACAATCAGTTAAATACTATTCGTCTCGCTGTTTTAGAGGCAAAAACATTAATCAAATCTGAATAATTTAATTGTTCAACCATATCTTTCTCTAT